CCAAAAGTGAGGTCAACAGATTCTGGTAGCATTATAATTTCATGTGCAATAGGGGACAGATTTTATGAGAAAGCTCTATATGATTTTGGAGCAAGCATCAACCTTAAGCCATTATCAATATTTAAAAGATTAGGATTAGGAGAAATATCCCCTACTCCTGTAACTCTACAGTTAGCAGTTCGTTCAATAACATATCCTAAAAGAGTTATAGAAGATGTCCTAGTGAAAGTGGATCAATTTATCTTTCTTGTTGATTTCATTGTGCTAGATATGGAGGAAGATAAGGAGATACCTATCATTTTGGGAAGACCTTTTCTAGCCACAGGAGGAGCAATGATATATGTGCAGAAAGAAGAATTAACAATGCGCGTCAATGATCAAACAAAAACATTTAATATTTCCAAATCAATGAAATACCCTGCAAAAGGTAAAGATGATTAATGCTATATGATGGATGTGATAAGATATTTAAGTGAATGTCATTTCAAAGCAACTTATAAGAAAAAATCTGAATTTAAAGTGTTGTGTCATGAACAAGAAGAGGAATTAGATTGATATGAAAATTTATATAAGGAAGATTCAAATTATGTTTTAGAAAGTTTTGAAGTTTTGGAGACGATAGAAAAATATACATCTTTTTATCCATTAATTGAAAAACCTCCTGAGCTTGAGTTGAAGTTGCTTCCTGAACATTTGAAGTATGCCTTTTAGGTGATTCCTGTAAATACCTGTTATAATTTCCTCAAAATTAACTACAAAAGAAGAAGAGTTTGATGAAAACTGTAAGAAGTTATAAGAAATCCTTTGGATGGACAATTACTGATATAAAGAGAATCAATCATTCAATTTGTATGCATAGAATTCATATGGAAGAGAACTGTAAATCTTGGACTGATCCTTAAAGGAGATCGAACCCTATTATGAAAGAAGTTGTTAAGAAAAAAATTCTAAAGTGTTTAGATGCTGAAATTATCTACTCTATTTTAGATAGTGCATGAGTTAATCTGATTCAATGCGTTCCTAAGAAAGGAGGAGTGACTATGACTTTAAATGAACATAATGAGTTAATACCAACAAGATAAGTCACAGGATGACAAATATGCATTGATTATAGAAAATTAAATCTTATCACTTGGAAAAATCATTTTCCACTACCCTTTCTAGATCAAATGTTGGAGTTTTTTGTCTTTGACGATGAATTCTTCTGATGAAACTTAGTAACATAAGTACGTAAATTTTAAATTTGTTGTTACTACTACTATTTTTTGTCTTTTACTTTTATTGTATTGAGGCACAGCTCATTACTTTCATTTTTTATATTTGTAGGCATAGATGCTACTTGTGTTTTACCTTTACTCTAATATTTTTTTTCTTAGAATTATTTTTTCTATTAATACTAATCTTCTTAATGTCATTCTTTTGTTTGGAGATGACCACAGGTAGTGCATGTGGTCAGCCACCTCATAGACCACATGTTCTAAGGACCCTTGAAACCACATATTGTAGCATGAATATGAGGTCATTTACTCATATCGTTGCTTCCACAGCTGCTACACCTCCTTAAGCACCTCCAAACCCACATGCTAATGCTACCCCTCCTGTGGCACCTCCACCCCCACCGACTACTGCTACACCTCTTACGACACCTCTTTCCAGCCACCCCCTTTGTGGCACCTGCTCCTATATCCGATGTTGCCCCATCTCCTGTGACGGCTGCTGCTTCCATGCCCACTCCCTCACCTGCTGTTGGCAGAGCTCTTGAGTCTGGCCCGTTGATTCCTACCCCCTCTCCCCCAAGGGTACAACTACTGTCAGAGGGGGGCTCGTAAGTTATTTTTAATATTATATTATGTTTATTCATCATGTTATATGTTTTTTTTTGTAACTAATTTTTTTCTTAAGTAAATTTTTTTCCCATAAGTTTCTCGTCACCTGCATCACAGAGATTATCATGAGCAAATAAAATGAGCCATATTTGTCATAGAAGCAGATCCCTGTAACCACTCGGGACTTGTGGTTCAAGGAGTTTGAGGTATAATGATGTAATTTAAATTAGATTTGCAAATTTTATTTAATTTCTTATACTAACACATAAATTATTTTTTACATTGCATAGGTCCTTCACCTGGCTGTCAGAGCACCACCATCAGATCCACCGAATCTTCGAGATTTAGGGCAGACATCACCTTGCCGACATGTTCACGATAGCTCACAGGCGGGGCTAGCGGCCTGCCTGGATCGGTGAGGGGATCCGGGGTCAGTTGACTACATCTTGGGCCTCTTCTGATTATGAGAGGAAAAGGCATATGAATTAGGCGAACCAGGCGACGGAAGGGGCTAGGTGAGGTGCAGTCTATATTGACAGATCAATCCCCCATACAAGCACTACAGGAGGCTGGTAATTTTTTTTATTATTTAAATATTAGTTTAATTTTTGGAGTAATTTTTTAGGACTAACCATTTTTATATGCTAGACAGGCCAAGAAGTTGAGCAATCTCCCTCCGTTGCGGAGCTGCATGTCCAAACTCAGCAGCACTCGGGGACTGCGCAATGGGTCTCAAAGCATTCTCGACCAAACTCATCAACATTAAAAACCTTGCATTAAAAGTTTATTTTGAATGTGTCAATTAAACTCTAGTTTTCATTATGCAGGAGGAGTTTGAGCAACTCAGGGAGAGACATTTGACCACTCAGACCTATACTTCCTCCAGTAGTAGTGGTAATCAGTCTACCACTTCGCAGTCTGAGTATGAGCTTTGGATCTAGACGACGGGGAGGAAGAAGGGGAGTGTTTTTGGCCTTGGAGTGAAGGGCATAACCTTCGAGGTTGAGCTCTCCCGCAGTCCCGTTTTTAGTTTCCCATGCTCCTCACAGCCAGACCAGGAGGCTCTTGTCAGGCAAATGACTGCAATGAATGAATAGATCCGCTAGTTGCACTAACAAATACTAGAAGACCAACATAGAGTCAATGACTCTATAACACACATTACGGAGACCTTTGCAGATAGCTGGAGCAAGAGATCAATGACATTCATACAGAAGGAGGAGGAGCAAGATGGACATGAACAATAGTTTATTTTTATGCTTTCTTTTATTTGTAAGCATTATGCTGAACATTTGTTGTGAATTTTTTTAGATTAATTTTACTATTTTTATTTGGAATGATTTGTGGCAGTATTTTCTTTTTATTAATGATACTGTTTAGAGATTTGATATGTGATAAGACTATGCGTAATGTGATATGTGATATGAAATATGTTTTTTTGTGCGGGTTGTAAAAAATGTAATTGATAATTTGAATTTTTTTTTGAATTGCAGGTTTGCATAGAATTTGAATCTATTTTTTCTGACGCAAAAATCCGATGCTAAATTAATAATAAAATTTATGTAAATTGAACGGTAATCCAAAGCTATTATTCATCGCACGATATTTTCAGATGCAAATTTTGACGTAAGTTTTGAATAAACATTACGACATTAATACGACGAAAAAACCTATGCAAATTATTTGTGTTAGAATATTTCAACGTAATTTTGATAGTAGTTTCATTACTGACCCTCTATTTAACGGCAGAACTTTTCAATAGGAAAATCAATCGAAGAACCTATTTACACACATAATGGCTCAAGTTTCCTTGTTGGAGTGAAGCTCAAGCCACATGGCATGTCCCAAAACATCTAACTCAAACAACCAAATAAGCCTTCAAGTGCAATGCCATTCCAAAATTCAACAAACAAGCTTCATATAAATTGCATTTTCACTAAGAAAGAAGTCTTAATATTGATACGCATTCCTCTGAGTAACAAATTACTTCCACCCCTCTAATTTTTACACTTGAAATTACTTTCTCATCCAATAAGGACAAATCTCCTAGCAATTAACACCCTTGCAATGGAAATTTCAATCTATATATATATATATAGAGAGAGAGAGAGAGAGAGAGAGAGAGAGAGAGAGAGAGAGAGAGAGAGAGAGAGAGAGAGAGAGAGAGAGAGAGAGAGAGAGAGAGAGAGAGAGAGAGAGAGAGAGAGAGAGAGAGAGAGAGAGAAACACACACTTAATAATAATTCTATCTCTTAACATTTCTACCTTGGTCATCTTCTTCCACCTTCATAAACAAGCCAACATAATCTTTTATAAGTGACGGAAAACATCTCTGCCAGCATTCAAACACATTTCTGTTCAAGCACGTACTTTCTACCTTTCAACATGCCATCAACATGAAAAAAAGCTGTTAAATTTCATCAGCCTCAATCTTTATTTTAAAGCTTAAGAGTAAAACTTGTATGTTTTTGCATTAATAATGATTTGTCTTAAGCCACCGATAGGCGACAAAATCATCAACAGAAGCCCCAAAATGATGCAAATCTGAACAAAATTGTTGGAAAAACATCAGTCAGCTCACGAATTTGAAAACAAATACAAAATAAGAAACAAAAAATTAAAATAGAATATAGAAAAGATTACCCAATTAGCAATCCAAGATAAGCTGAACTTTCTGGGCTTGTAAATACAAAGCCACATGACACAAGGAAGCTATATCAAAATAAGAATTAAATAACAAAGTTAGATTATTATACAACTGATGAAGCACAAAGAATAATCTGTTGCATTTGTTAACTACAAACTTACAAAATATGTCGTTGGTGCAAACGCAAAACCTCCAAAGAAGCCGAGTAGTCCACCAAAGAATGGGAAGGTCATACCAATGAACATGGTGAGAGCTGAAAATCAATTTAACATTAGCATCCATTCATAAGAAGAGAGAGAAAAAAAAAGTTCTCTAGACTATTTATACCATGCAATTTTGATTCTAAACTATCTAATAATGTCAAATTTAGTCTCTTGCTTCCATATAGTCATCGAATGCTTCAAATTATATCCAAAATAATCAAACTATACCGTTTGATCTGAATCATATTTAAAAAAATTAAGAATTCAACTTGAACTAACTAAATATTACATCAGGAGTCCTAATGTAAAACTGCATCAGGACTTCAATCGCAATGCGTCATGTGTACGGTCCAGTTAAAGTTTTTTATATTCAGTGGACCTTACACGTGGCATAATATGATTAGAGTCCTAAAACAATTTTGTACAGAACTCCTGATATAATTATGTTACAGATCCATTGAACTACTTATAAATAGTTCAGGGATCACTTTAACATTTTTTTCTCACAATCAACACATAAACATAAAAATTTCTTACCAACATAAGTGCTCCGCGCAATCAAACGAAGAGCAACCCCAGGAGGAAAACGCAATTTCTTCACGAGCACAGTTTCAACCATATCGAAAACCGGCATGGCATAGATCTGATAGCTCCCAATAACATGAACCACCACCATCATATTAGCCATCGCAATCAGCCACCGCGGCTTCTCCAGACTGATCAGAATATTATCCTCCACCGCGTTCCCAAACGCCCAATACCCAATAATCGCCACCGGAAAATAGCAAACCGCCACTATGATATACGCCACCACCACCCCTTTCCACATCGGCTTCTTCGACGGCTTCTCCGGCGTGGAAGGAATAGTCGCCTGAATCTCCAGAACCACGTTATGCCCAGCATAAGCAAACGCCACGTCTCCCAAAGCGCTGAAAAAACTGAGCACCGTCCCGGCCGTGCTGTGAGATCTGTAGCCATACTCCACACCTTCCTGCTTCCCCTTGTCCACCGAAGCTCCCCAGGCAATGGTGGAGTAGCTGAGGGACATCACGGCGGCGGCGAGGGAGACGCCGGAGATGGAGTTGAAGTTGGGGAGCTGCGAGAGGACGAAGTGGACGGAGGCGAAGATCATGATGAAGTAAGTGAGTTTGATGTTTTTGCAGTCGGGGCAGACTGTGTCGTGGAACTTTTTGAGGGATTTGCCGCCGGTGACCATGTAGACGATACAGACGCCGATTTCGACGACCAGTTGTTGGGGGACGACGATGTAGAGGCCAAGGCGTTGGCCGAAGGCGTGCTGCCCGAGCTCGTGGTAACGGTCGAATCGCTTTCCGGGGACCATTTCGTGCATCTCCACCATTTGCCATAGGGTGTATAAAGTTATGAGCCAGGACAGGGCGAGGACTGCGATTCCTGGCCCCCTGTTGGCGAATAATACTTTTCATCAAAAAGAATGTGTATCAAATTTTATATTTTTATGAAAAAGATGGGATTTTGATTACCATCCTAATTCGGAGAGGGCGTAAGGCAAGCCGAGAACTCCGGCGCCGACCATGGCGGTGACGTTGTGGAATGTTGAGTACCACCATTTGGCATCTCGGGAGGAGGTGATTGGAAGCCAGTCGTCGATTGCGTCTTCCTTTGCGGGCTGCACGAGGAATGGGACTGCTTGTTAATTCTTCGACATTGAGGTTAATGTACAGAAAGAAAAAAGTGGGATGCCAAATTTTGTCATTTTGGCTGCAGGAGGATTGGCTTGTTAGGATCAAGCTACTTAGAATTTGATAAAAACAACAAATGTGAAGAAGAAACATACAATTAATTTTGATATTTGAGTGAGAATTTATAAAATAGAGAAAAGGTGATTGATTTGTAAATACCTTATTTCGGGAGGCCGGTATGCACTGAAATACACAGTTTTTTCATACACATGAAATAGGGTAGTAGCAGTATTCGATTTGTTCGTCAAGAAAATGAGCCGAATACAAAGATATTTTCTAAGCTCGATTTATAAGCGGCCAAACACGAACCAATTTTTGTTCAATCTTTGCTCATTTTTACTCGAATTAATTAAATAATAAATAAAAATTACATTAAATTTTGTTTATATAAATATATAAAAAAAATAGATTTTTGATATGTAAATACATAAGAATTAGGTGTATGCATGTAACTGTATAATTTAGAAGCTGATATGTAAAATACATATGAATTGGGAGTTATATAAATAAAATTTTGTAAACGAGTCGAATTCGAGCGAATCAAAAGCTTGTTAAAAATTTTTTATTCATATTGAAGCTCGTACTCCAATTTAAATTCCAACTCAAATAAAATTACAAAATAATTTTAATTTTATATATTTTCTGTTGCATGAAAAATATAAAAAAAATACAGCTTCACATAAATCAAAAGCGACATAACTGATAATTTCAGATTACCATACTTTAGCTTTGACATTTATACTTAATTTGCAATTTAATTCTTGTTAATATAGCGATGTGGGACAAAATAAAGAGCTGGGCCACCCCCGAATTGTAAGACATTTATATACATACCACCAAATTTTGGGAAGTGGGCCCACCTACATGCCACCAACTCTGTAGCAGGCAGGAGTGGTGGACTGGCGGGACAGTGGGCGTTTCATAATAAGATTATTTATTTTTGCACGAAAGCATTTAAAAAATGCCACTTTTTCAATATGCCATTATACCATTTACAAATAAGCACCGGTCAGACTTAGAATGTCATGACAAGAAAATTAAATAGATTTATAAATTTTTATTTATATTCCAAATAAGTCATCTTGGTCAATAAATTATGTTTGAAATATTAGGGTGTGTTTGGGCCAGCTTGTGTTTATTCAGATAAGCAGCTTATCTTGTAACACGACCCCAGGGGTTCTACTCACGGCCTACGTTTAGTGTAAAAACCCAACCACATTTTCGAATAAGCTGCCGAAACATGTATTCCAAACTTTGAGGCCGCATTTCGAAAATGCCGCCCGCACTTATAAACTATCACAAACAAGCCCTTAGTAATTATACCAATGAAATTATCTTCTTGATATAATAAAATAAATTTCTAAAAGTGTGTTTTTCATGTAGACAATTTTATCTAAATCATAAAAATATTTGCATTACATTTTTGAAACTTTAATGCACATGCATTTTGTCATAGTTTCGGAATAATAATAATAATAATTTATGCAATTTTAGGAATAAATATTAAAATGTAATATTCAAATTTGGTAATTAAGCCCAAAAGTAAAATTCACTTATGACATAATTATAACTTATTACGCGGCCTTTCACTAGTGTTGTGTTAAATAAGCAATAGATGATATAGCCGGATGCCAACTAATTATGTTGACCAGAATGCATCATATCATTAAATACGTTGACCAAGATGTTTATGAAATATTGCTAAGAAGTACTATATAAAATAATTTAATTACAAAAACATTTTATAGGAAAAAAAAATTAATTTCTTGGGAATCAATACAAAATTTGTTGGGAAATAATTTTGAATGATTAAACTTTTATATTAAAAATTTTGAGCGGTTAAAAAATCATATTTAAAATTTGAGTATTTAAAATCAAATATTTAATATTTTAAATGATTGTAATATAAAAACCGCTAAATAATGTATGCAACAAAATATAGTAGATCTATTTCACATTTTTGAAGCTTTTCTTTCATTTCCATTAGGATCATGTTGTAGATCCATGGAATAATCATAAATCATTTTATATAAGAGAGAGAGAGAGAGATAGAGAGAGAATATAGAGATAGAGAGAGAGAAGAGAGAGAAAGAGAGTTACTTTTGGGCGGTTGATACTCATGGGGGCGGGGGTCTCATGTGCAGGAGCTATCGTCCCCATGTAGCAGAGAGGAGCCTTATACTCATGGGGGCGGGGGTCTCATGTGCAGGAGCTTTCGTCCCCATGTAGCAGAGAGGAGCCTTTGAAGGGAGAGAGAGAGAGAGAGAGAGAGAGAGAGAGAGAGAGAGAGAGAGAGAGAGAGAGAGAGAGAGAGAGAGAGAGAGAGAGAGAGAGAGAGAGAGAGAGAGAGAGAGAGAGAGAGAGAGAGAGAGAGAGGAATTGAAGGAGAAGAAGATGAGAAGGAATATATAGAAGAAGAGGGCTTAAGCTTTAATTGGACTTTAACTAAAAATATTTATCAAGTCAACTTCACGAATTTCCGGGCAAAACACTTAAACGCGCCTTGAAGGAAAAAAAAACGTGGGGCATTTACATACATGCCACCTAACTTCTTTGTATTTACATAAACATCACCTAAACTCTGCTTTTTATATTTATACCACTCAAAACTTTTAATTCACATAAAAATTACTATTTTAAAAAGTTAGTTGCATGCAACTTTTCAGCAAAAGTGAGATGGTATTAATGTAAAGATTGAAGTTTAGGTGTGTGACATGTAAATACATGTGAAGTGGTATGTATGTAAATCTTATAAGAAAAAAAATGTCTTGTTACGACAAACAAAATATCATTAAAAAATAGTTTGATTTGAATCCAAATAAATATAAATGAAGCATTTGAAACATGATTGAAAATTTTGAGATATCAAATTAATAGATCAAGTAAAGTATAATAAAATCTCCATGTGTAATATAACTTAGTTATAGAGGTCAGACAACAACTATTAGGGAATAATAATTAGGCTATAGCAGGTGCTTGTGGTGGTCGACAACGATCTACGATCGACAACGATCTACGGTAGTGCTTGTGGTGGTCGACAACGATCTACGGTATTCATCATTTTCTCACTTTTTTTAAGAGTGCAAATATGGTTTTTAGCCTCCTTTTTCTCTCTCTTTCATGTTAAAAAAGTGATTCTATTTATATAGTTTTAGGATAGGAGAGACTAGGGTTGTAAACGAGCCGAGCTTGAGCGAGCTCAGGCTTGGCTCCGGGTC